CCTAGGTCGAGTCTGTCTTTCCCTTGACCATAACGGGTGAATGATCTCTCCCTGTCCCTGTCCTGACCCACCAGCCCTTCCTCGTACTTTGTCCTCCCCGTCCCGCTGCAGCGTGCGGCCGCGTGGTCCTTTGCTGCTGGCTGGGCCTAAACCACGAGACGAGGCCAGCCTGGCCTGCACCGCATGGGAGATGACACCGAACATTTCTCCTAACAGCAACTACACAGCACAACACTTGAAAGGGGACAGACTAGACTGCTGCCCCAAAGTCTGCCTGTTGCAGATACTGTCTGAGCCAGAACTTTGAAGTATCCAGCAAATCACACAAAAGTATTCATGATCCCTCTAATATTTTTGGCCGTACTGTTATTACTCCACTCACTTTTACAATCTGGCTCACGTTTAGAATCTAAGAAGAAAGGGAAGTCAAGAAAAATGTTTAGGGATTTCCCACTACGTAGGTCACTCTTAGGGAAAAAGCCTATTGGGTCTGCACGACCATAACGCAGCAGACGACACAGCCCGGTGTTGTGGGGTAAACCAGAGAAACAGCTTCCTGTTTAAGCAAAGTCTACAGTGTGTGTTGTGCTGAGCCAGTACGATGACTGTGGTTTTGCTTGGTCTTGTCAACTCACCTGTTTTTACACATTTTACACAAAACACTGAAACGTTTAACTGAGTATGTATTCCTGTGCTTGAAAGGCCTACTGGGAATCTGCTAGCTTTGGATTAAGACTTCCGGTACAAGATGCCCATTAGCTGCTAAGCTTGACGTCCTCTAAGAAGTGGCAAGAATCCCTGATGATCCTTATAGGCTCATGGAGGACTGTGCAAAGGACAGGGATCCCACTCTTCCTCACTGTTGGGCCAGGGCCTATCACAGTATAACAACACTCAAAGACTCTGACCTCAACAAATTATTATATCAGAGTAAAATCCCTAAAAATAGTAAAATGCAGTATTAAAAGAATCAAAACCGAGAGATAATCAAACCCAAAGATACATAAACCAAAGGTAAAGTCTGTTAGAGTTTCCTAGTCACGCTGTTTAAGACTTTCTGCATTTGTGAAACAGTTTTATCTGGATAAGGATGCTCTGGAAGAGGGTATCTAGTGGTTGCTTTCAACTGTCTGTTCCAGTTCCTACAATTCCCTGATACACAGTAAAGCTGCAGAACAGAAACACAACATCAGCCTTCAGCTCCTCTGGTGAAGGGATGAAAAGGGAGGGAAAAAGCCAGTCATCTGCATGAATTCTTCTGTACTGGTTATCGGGATGAAAAGACAACATAGTTTTTCCAATCATGCTGTGACAAAACACCAATCTGTATAATAGTAGGAGCTTCAAAAAATAAAACTACTGTAATTACATTTTGAAGAATTTCCTTAGAAACAGTCTTTGACTTACACATAAATTCCTGTTTTTCAAAGTTACTGATCAAAGAACGCAAACCTAAAAAAGACCTGTTTTGTCGTTTCAAGTATTTGATTCCGTATCACTCAGGAGACCACTCAGATAAACGTTCTTTTGTCTCCGAGTACGACATTCCTAGTTCTCTGCGCTTCAAAAAAAATCAGTGCAGAAATAATTCCTTTCCTCCTTCCCCCGTTAATCCTGTATTGTGGCTGAGAACTGGAAGGAAATTAAGACACTCCAAGGTATGACACCCACATGGACCACCGTCGTATTGTGGTCACTAAGAATACATGTTCAGCAAACTTAAGAATGGGAACTGGAAACAAACCAGATGGAAAATATTAAAAGCAGAATGGCACATGAGTTTCAGTAGATGCTTTAAATAAAGGGCAGTTAAATGCATTTATACCCAAGACTGCAACAGTGATGTAATGAAAAAACCCCATAATGTAAAGAGAATACCAAACTGAGTAATAGCTGATGGGCAAAATCTTAAGACTGCACTTACTTGGTATGTCCCTGAGCGACCGCTGAACACAAGGGTGTAAAGCCGTTTTTATCAGCAGCATCAACCTGTGCTTCTGCAGACAGCAGCAATCTCACACAGTCTGTGAACGGAGCATAACATAGACTGAAGCGAGGGACACAAGTGGTTAAAACTACCAGACGTTAAAACCTACTCAAGGGGCAACACCAACCAGTCTTTTGACCGCACAACGTGCGCCTCAGGGCGCTGAAGTAGCAGCTCTGGAAGCAGTCTGCAGGAGAGAGGTGAGCAGGACTCCCTGGGGACACTGCCACCCTCCTGCAAAAAGGGCCGGGGTTGGGTTCTACTGGGATCCAAATCTGTGCCCATTGCTGGCGACTCCCACGGTGTCAGCTAATTTATGTATCTCTAAGGCGGGCGCTTTGACTTTTCCAGCAGCCCTGGAAGGCAGCAGAGTCCTGTGAGACACCCCAGAGATGACAGCCCCGGGGAAGAGGCTCACAAGACACACCTAACTCAACAGGCTGGCCTGTTGTTTCAGGACACTGACGTGGGATTGCAAGAACAGATAAGATAAGCTGACAACCTCCAACCTCCCCAGACCATTCCCACTCATACATTTCCAAAATGACACGCAAAAAAATAGTACCAGCCTGATTCCACCATCCTACAGCTAAATTAAGATAATTAATTACACAGTAATTAGACCGCTTTTCATCCACAAAGTGGAGTATCATTTGATGCAATTAAGTTTGAAGAAAATACTTCATCTATTTCCTTGAAACTGGTTCTAGACCAAACTAAAACAATTCTTATGTAGTTGCAAATACTACTTTGAAAATCAGCTCAGCTGAACACCAATTATAAGCTCCTGACCTCATTTCTGAGCAAGCTGAGTGCATTCTCCTCTCCTGTGAGGAAAGGCTGAGAGAGTTGGGCTTGTTCAGCCTGGAGAAGAGAAGGCTCTGGGGAGCCCTTATAGCACCTTCCAGTACCTGAAGGGGCTACAAGGAAGCTGGGGGGGACTTTGTACAAGGGCCTGTAGTGACAGGACAAGGGGTAATGGGTTTAAATTGAAAGTGGGGAGGGTTAGATTAGATATCAGGAAGAAATTCTTCACAGAGAGGGTGGTGAGGCACTGGAACAGGTTGCCCAGAGAAGCCGTGGATGCCCCATCCCTGGAAGTGTTCAAGGCCAGGCTGGATGAGGCTTTGAGCAACCTGGTCTAGTGGAAGATGTCCCTGCCCATGGCAGAGGGGTTAGAACTAGATGGTCTTTAAGGTCCCTTCCAACCCAAACCATTCTGTGATTCTATGACTCTGTTCCAGCACTGGGTAAGATCTTGGAGCTAAGCTGATGAAGTTTACCTGTCAGAAACATGTATTTAGGACTGCTTAGAAATCAATCTAAAATGCTCCTGAACGTATTTACTCCTGTTACAATTCTTTCATATATTAATACAGATTTTCTGGAGTTGATTGAATAAATAAGTTAAAACTAAGAAATAATATTGTAAAACACTGTAAATCATTATATTGCAATTAAGACTCTTAAATTCTTAAATAAGTAATGTGATCTGATTTTAGTGGTTTTTTTTTTTTAAAGTTGGTTGTGAGGATAAACTTCCAGGGCTTCACCCGTAGTAGTTTCAAGTCAGAAAGAAGCTCTCTGTTAACTGCCTCACCTAGCACTTCCACTTGTAAGATAACACCAATTCAAATCAAATTATATTTTCAATCACTTTGCAACAGAAAAAATACTCTGCTAACAATGACTTCTTTCCATCGACCCCAGTCTTCTATTAAACAATTAGCTGGAAAACACAGATTCCTGCTTGACATCCTAGAATACTTCTAAAGTTTATGAAGGATGTTGAAAAAACCGTTCTTCCAGCAATTTCAAGAACACGGCTAGAATACTCGTTGGTGTCTCCATAAAGCACACGTCAGCCACGCAAAAGCCATGAAGAATGCACAGAACAAGACCACTTTTCTAAAAAGGTGCGGTTAACTCACAATTATCGATTGACAGGTCACTCAGGTGGCGGTTGATCTACATGAAAATACTGTTTCTGATGCAGACCACTGGCAAGAGCTCCTTATCCTCAGGGTTAGGTGCAAGCATGAGGAAATACAGCTGCGTCCGTAAGGCAGACCGTGTGAGCTAGTGAGGCCTACGTGACCTGTGGGGGTGGCACATCATGAAAAAGAGCAGTGGTCTCCAAGAAGCCTGGGTCCTCCGGATGAACTTTTGATTGGGATTTGGGGAAGGGTGATTTGGGTCAATCCAGGCTCATTAACTCCAGTCCACTGCTGTCTGCCACAGAAGTAATCGACAGTGGAGGGGACTGGGTGGAAGGGCAGGCACAGGGCAGATGCTTATGTTGTCACTCAGTTAAAGGTTTTGGTCAAAGCACAAGCAAAACCTGGGAGTTTATTAGCACAAACACCTGGAGACTTTACTGCTCTCCACCACAGCTGGGTAGTTAGTTCTTCCAGAGTGCTGGCAAACACCATGCGGATACAGCCAGTGGCTTGGCAGAGCTGACTCCATGTAGCTGTATGTCTCTGCACCTCACTCCTTTCTACTTCCCACATCATTCCAGTTTTTCCTATCAATTGGGATGCCACAGCCTCCAAAAACCCAGGACAGAAGAGAACCGGTTATACCATCAATGCACGTGATTAGCACACAGCTGAGTCCAAAGGATATTATTACTATTCTCTTCACATCTCTCAGTCTCAGGAACTCTTCTGATTTCATCCTCTCTTTCTCAACCACCTCGTGCGTGGTCAGGACTGGCAACTCAATGCAGACAGGCAGATAGATCAGCTGATGAAGTACTGTACATGTTACCGAGTGCATAACAGACCAAAGGGGCTCCTGCTTTGCGAACGGCTCAGACCAAGAGAGCCTGACAAAACAATCTGTTCAGCTGTCCTAATCTGGTGGTTAAATCACAAAACCAACCGTTTCCTCATGTCCACTAAAACACAAAGGAAGCTTTGAGCGTATATTTTCAGGGCGAAGTTTGCGCTCTCAGACCTGCAGAACTGGGGACAGTGTGTGCAGGGAACAAAGCAGCTGCTATGAGCTTCGTGTGCTGCAGAAACCCGCGGCGGCCGCTCTCAAAAGGCAACTGTTTATGAACAGGAAGGCTACGCAGTTTGCAAACAGGGCAGATCAGGAAAGAATATTAGACTTCTCTCTTGTGTAACTCAATTTTCTCTACAGACTGGGCTGAGAGCACGTAACAGCTGCCGCCGTCATGCTGGGTACGATGTGCTTCACCTTTCTCTGGTCACCTGCACATCGCAAATACTGTGTGTTTCTTCACCGAAGACGTGTGGAGGTCATTCACTTCCCACTCTTCCCTGACTCCCTGCAACATGCTGTTTGTTTCTGAAGGGAGGCAGGTACTCACAATGCTGGCTCTTAACAAGTCCAGAGCTACCCTTTTCTTCTGGGCAACTATTTCCCAGAAGAAATCGGGAAATCTGGTTAGTTGAGTGAGAAGAACCAAGGGATCCTAGAAACCTCTGCATCTATTCAGTAACTAACTCCAGGTTACAAATATTCTCAATAAATTAAATCACGGCGTCATCACCTACCAGAGCAAGCTTATGGGTTAACTCTTACGCTTGGACTTGATATCTGAAAGTTCTTTTCCAACCTAAATGCTCCTATGATTCTAAGGAATAAAACCCAGCCAGAAGATGGGAACTTACCACTGGCAATCCTACTCAACACAACAAAAAATTCTGTAGAATAAATTGTTTTATCCTTCTTAAAATTACATCACTGTCATTCCTTTTCACCTGGTTAGTTATAAAAAGCTAGTAAAAAGGACTTTTTAAAAAGAAGAGTTTTATTCCTGCACTTTCTTTCTTAAACCTAGGTATCTTCACATACAGTTGCTTTCGAAAGTCTCCACTCTGAAGAGCTGCATCTATCCAAGCACTCAGGAACAAACCGTAAGTGACAAAGAAAGGATCATATATTGAAGTGCAGCATGAAAAGCTTTCCCCAAAAATACTAGAAATCTACTACTCTCCATTTTCACACAATATAGCAAGGAGACATCAGTACTGCTGGTGTGTGATTCTCTCATTCAGAATTCATATTGTCCAGTCAGTCGCTAAAATGTGATGATTTGTACAACAAAGTGTTTTTCACATCCTGTCAACTCTCAGTGGAGCACTAGAACCTTTGTAATATACATTTTTATCTTAAAAAGTGAAAGATATTAACCTATTACAGGATGAATATGCACGTTTTTGTTTTCATTATTGTGTGTGCATGCTTCTGTCAAGCACCCTCCTTATTTGAAATGCTGACAATAAAACAAGAAACCAAATTGCCTTTGCTGTCAGTAAGAGCTGTTCAGTAACTGTAACTGAGAATCAGGGCATTTGCTTCGCAACATTTCAGGAATACAAGGCGGGTGAAGAAGAATTGGGTCAATTACAGTCTCCCACGAACACCACCAGTGATAAATGGATGTAAGCCTACAAGGATCCACAGAACACCCATTCAGTGAGGGGAGAAAAATAAATCCACGCAATATAATAAACCTGGGCTCTTACTACTGAAATTAAAAGCTTGGGAAAAAAATGGCAAAGGAAGAAAATAAAATAAAGAACTTTTCCAATATTTTAAGAGTCTTGGCAACAGCAAAGAATCTGTCAGATGAAAAGGCCCAGATGTTCCTACAAAGTAAACCACAGCACCTAGCAAGCAAAGACAAATCATAGCATTCTGAACAAAGGGAAGATTCCTCCTATCCCTACGCCTGGTAGCAAAATTAAACTTGAACATGTGAGAAAAATGTACACTATCTGCCTAGCTATGGCTTTTGTATCCTAACTTACTCTGATTTTTAAGATACTTGAGAAAAATAATGGAACAGTCTCCCTACATACTCTCTTAAACACTGTACCAGGGTTTTCTAATTGTGTCACTAACAAATCCATTGTTAAATAAAACCACAAAGTGCCCTCAAAAGCGGTAGCTTTAAACACACTAAATTTGACCTTTTACTGTGAAGTAAAATCTTGTCTTTACTAAAAATTAGTGGAATTTTTGTCATTGGTATTGGTGGATCTCATATTTAGGGTCCAAAACGGCATAATGATGCCATTTGCTGTACAAGAATCTAGGATGTTTTTACGTAAGTACAAAAAAAAAAAAAATACAGTAACATGTTCTGGAATTTTAAAGAAGGCTGCTGTTTGAGAGCCTTGTGTTAACACTCTGAAATTATTGCCTGGAGGTTTTATCCATGAAATTCGTATCTCTTAGTAACATCTAAGGCCAGGCTGGATGCGGCTTTGAGCAACATGGTCTAGTGGAAGGTGTCCCTGCCCATGGCAGGGGGTTGGAACTAGATGGTCTTTAAGGGCCCTTCCAAACCATTCTCTGATTTGCCTCATCTCATCAATATATTTATAATATATGAAGACTGCTGAAAGGTTCCGACATGCTGCCTCCTCCAGACTGAGGGTTGGAGTAGTGGGGAAAAGAAAAAGAAAAATGGTATCTCAGTAGGGCAAACTAAGGCTATTTCCTCTGCCTCAAAAATACAGTCAGTTCATTTTATTTCCCAAATAACACACTACTCTGAAACCATCTTCCATCATCTGCACTGCTGCTGCAGGAGATCAAAACACTGCTGATGACCTATTCTTTCCTGCTTACTCCCTGTAGAGGAAAGCCCGTTCTTTCAAATTGCCTTTGCTACAAAAGATCTTTGGTTTGTCACAGAACATGTGGTGACGATGTCTGGTGGCTTTTTATAGGAAGGGAGAATTGGAATGGCTATTCCTGCAGAATGCTACCACAAGCAAGAATGCTTTCTGTGTTCCAAAATCTTGTCTCCAAAGGTATTGCTTACATACACGCTATACTATGACTTCTGTCACATAATCTGCATGTCTCAGTTTCACTTTCATATTTTTAAATGACAGGCAGCTGACCTAACTATTTAAAACTCACGAAAAAAGCTTTCATTATTTGATTTGTATATCGTAACAAAACTTAGAATCACCTACCTGTATGTCCATTCGTAGCAGCAGAATACAAGGCAGAATAGCCATCTTCACAAGAGTAATTAATGTCCAGTCCTTCTTCATTAAGCAGCATTGATAATAAAGTGACATTTCCCTGGGCAGCAGCTTGGTGAAGAAGAGTGGGCCTGCCACCCAGGGGGACAGGACCACCACTTGTTAACAAAGGGGTTAGGGAGGAAGACCAGCCTGTGAGTTAAAGCAACAGAAGTTAGATGGAAGACGCATAAATAAAGCTTTGCTTTTTCTGTGTGCCTTTAAAAATCAAAGAGGATCTTCAAAATGACAAGATTCGTTAGTTCAGCGCAAGTTTTGTGATGACGCTTTGTCTATGTATCAGAAGGTATTCTGAAGAGTAAAATCTGCAGGTAAGGGTGACAACTGTTAATGCAAATGAACAGATTCCATTGCAAAAGGTTAACGTGAAACTTATGAACTGTGGTAGCAGCTGGATGTCTCAAAAAATGTATACTATTAAAATCCAGAAACTACCGAAAGCCTTACACAAGTTTTAATTTAATTGCTCCTATGCTGGGAATTTTTTCTAAAGTATCTAAAAAAAGTTTTAAAAAAAAGGCCAAATAAATTTCATATGAAATCTCATCCTTTACAGTCTTGGTGAAAAACTTCAGTATTGATATCTCACCTGCAGGTCTACAGAAAAATCACACGTGGTCTTAATAACTTTAAGCATCTTTCAATGTGTTTTCAAAAAATGTAGAAACCAGTTAGGCAAATAATACAGAAATAAATATATCTGACTGAAGTGTACCTTACGGTAATGTTCCTTGCACTCACCGACACTTAAACAATGTGTTATAAAATGCTCCAGTATGAATGAGTAATAGATTCTATAAAATTTACGAATGAAAGTCACCCTGTTAAAAAATAATATTCACTTCAAAGCTTTGAAAGCTTAGGAGTTATCTTGGTTAAATGTGCTGTTCGTTACTTATCAGCTTTAGAAGGGAGTTTGTTAAGAATATGAAGTTTGCTGCATAAGGCATAGAAAATTTTGTGCATTCTTCTTTGACCAAGGACTGCAAAAGAAAATAGAAGAAAGATTTTTCCTTTTCTTATTTTATTACATTTAGAAAATCCGCATTGTATTTCTTGACGAACTTTGTATTCCGTGGCCACACACAAGCTATTTTATGAGGCTGAAATCTGACAATACAAAGCAAGTTTACGCAGCTTTCACTGTAGTTCTACAGCCCCCAGGGCTGAAGAGGAGCTGCAGGGCACGACCTCCAGCTCCACCAAGCTGATCAAGGGCCATCCAACCTCCAACACCTAGAACCGGAAAAGACGCGTGGCAGTAGCTCTACTATGCTGGGATGATCTGCTCTGCAGTTTGGAAAAATGAAATGAAATATGGAAGTTAGAGTTCCACAGAAGCAATAGATCTGGGAACCTTGCAAGATCCAGTCAAATTTTAATTAAGGTCCAGACAAGAATCCATCACCTGAGCAGCCGCAATGAAGAACCCAGTTCAAAACAACCACAAAAAGAAATGCTTGGAGTATTTTCATATTTGTTTCTAATGTAACCTGAATTAGTAATTTCAAATTAAGTTTACTAGTTCAGGATGTAAAGAAAACATATTTTTCCAGTATTTTCAACTTACTGATTCGACACTGACTGTAAGAAGTCGTCACTACAGCTGTGAAGTTACCTTATAAATGCAACTTTAAACTGACGACAGACTGTAAAGTTCACTCCATCCAACTTCAATTCTGAAGCTACATTCTGGCTATTAATACTCTTATTAGTATTTGTTTCTCCAATATTTTTAATCAGAGGTTTTTGAGGGTTTTCTGAAGTTTGTAAATAGTAAGCAAACTCCATTCTTTAAGTGATAAAAAAATCTGTATCTATTTGCACTTACAGTTAACTCTTACAAAATCCCCAGAAGTCTGAAGAATAACTTTTGTTCTTTCTTTCCATCAGAAAAGTGGTTTTATTTTTCCAACCTTTTGCTATTCTTTGAAACTAAGGGTGCTGCAGCTGTTGCTGTATGCATCAGTGATTTTAAATGGTACCTGTGTAGTTCTGCCTGTCGTGCCGTGGTAGTTAACTGACAGTGGATGCTGCTAGGGTGGCACTCCAGATGCTAACATTCTTTGTCCAAGGCACACTGGAATTATCTGGGGGGATTCTGGGAGCCCGACGCTAAGCTTCAAGCATGAAGTTCACTTTCCCAAGTAGTTTTGTAATACGAACAGTAATTCTGGGTTCCCTTCCGTACTGAAAACAATGTAAGTTTTTCCCATTTTCTTTTAAAGCGTCATCAACAGAAATTCCAGAATAAAAGAGGGTTTTATTTGGGTGCCATATGTGGTGTCTTAACTTTCATTTCAACTCTTTGAAATGAAAAATATGTTGTTGCGATTCACTGATGAAATCCTGCACACCAGGTTATCGTTAGATGAAAACCTTCTACTGAAAGAAAGATACAAAAAGCAGGTAATAACACAAACCTAACTTCAGCTTCTTTTATCAGCGTAAAGCAATAGAATAAAGCTGAATTCATTCCACAAAACACAGCAACGTTAGGAAATACCAATAAGGAAAGTACATGGTTACAGATGCAAAAAGTCCGGAAGCGTGAAGCATCGGTGAAAGTGTGTAGGGCATGCAGTGATGAAGGGCAGAGGGACAGACAAGAACAGCTTCTGGCATCAGCTTCAGAATGTGAGGTGGTTAATTTCAGAGCCCAGATCAGTCCCTCACCCCCCACACACTTTTAACTTCGAAGCCAATTGTATAGAGAGAATAAATCAATCGTTACAGAAATGAGCAAAATAAAACTTCATTGAAGAGTGACATAAAAAGCGCAAAACCCAGAAGAAAGTGAAAGCAGAAGTCCCAGGGGTATGGAAATCCAACTGCCTGCCTTCGTTTCCATTTTGAAGTCTTACAGCCGTTGAACCGAGGAAGTCCAAACAGAGCAGAAGCATTTTGGCACCAGTTCAACGGCTGCTGAAGTTAATGAAAACACTGTCGCAGATTTTGAATTGGGCCATAAATGTTCATCGTAATTTCACTACGTGCAGTCTGTTCAACGTTAATGACAAAAGCTGGTCTCTTTGTGCTCTGATTTTAAGTTCGCTCTTGAGAGCTGCTCCTTTGAGATGAGAAGAGCAACACGTAGTACGGTGCCCCGTCTCTAAAAGGTACCGCCATGTTCCTTTGGCAGGGTGCGGAATGGAAGCAATTGGTGCTCTGATTTTAAGTTCGCTCTTGAGAGCTGCTCCTTTGAGAACCCAGACGCTCCCTTACTGAAAATAAGGCTGATGTGTTCTTCAAGGAATCCGAGCTAACTAGGAAACTGGTTTTAAATTAATGAATAAGTACGGTGCCCCGTCTCTAAAAGGTACCGCCATGTTCCTTTGGCAGGGTGCGGAATGGAAGCAATTGGTGCTCTGATTTTAAGTTCGCTCTTGAGAGCTGCTCCTTTGAGAACCCAGACGCTCCCTTACTGAAAATAAGGCTGATGTGTTCTTCAAGGAATCCGAGCTAACTAGGAAACTGGTTTTAAATTAATGAATAGAATACCTGACTGATCAGGCTATTAGCAACAATTCTGACCCCATGGTCAGAAGAAAGAAACACGAATTTCTTGGAAAACAAAAATATAAAAATGGAGGCTTCTTTCAATGTCTTCTTAATATGTTAAATTGGTTTTGCAGTGTTGTTTGAAAATGTTAACAAATTCTGATTGAAGCTCACTACTTACTATGCAATAAAATATGAATCAGCTTTCACCATGCTCTGCTTTAACTGAAGGTAAAATTGAAATTCTAAACATTTTCTGAAAAAAATAAATGAAGCTGATTAAAATCAACCGGAACATTAATAAAACTAACTGAATCTCTGCCCAGAGGGAATGAAAATGCAGATGTGTGAAGGAGGTTTCAGTAATATTTGCAGTTTGTTAGATGGTGTTCACCCCAAGAGGTCGCACTGAAAAAAAGAGAGTGACATGAATTCAGGCATTACTGACCACATTATCTAGACCACTACCTAGAGCTTAGGCTATCTTTCTTTGCAGAGCTGAGATTATGGGGTATGCTTCCCCTTTGTAATTGCAACAATTCACAAAGAGCTCTGCCACTTGCAAAACAGTAACGGTGTCAAATGTTCAGAGCAACGGTTATAAATGGATTAAATGAACCCACATTTCCACCCCTGCCAGAAAGAAGCACGTGGAGTGTAAATGAAGAAAGGCAATCTGAACACAAAACCCAGCACAATGTAAAAAAAACTAAGTTTTTGACAAAAACCTTATCTTTGAGAACTGCCTCTGAGAACGGTCACAAATTTCACAAGCAACAGAGACTGACTATTGGATGGAGGAGTCCAACTTAAAAGGCCGACTGTCATCCTAGGAAAAACGTTTATGCCTCGAAGGACAAACTAAAGCGATAACAATTCATGGAGTTACGAGGTCAAAGGGTGGTAATTTTAATTCCATTAAGAAGCCTAATAGCACCCGAAGGCAAATGAGGTCTGGAGAATATCTAGAATACTGGAAGACTAATGACCTACTATCAGACTCAGCTAGGAATAAGAATTTAAGATAAAAATTCAGGACATCCATATGAAAAACAGCAAAGCAAGAGGCAGCCACCAAATCCCACAGTTGTTAACCCTGAGAAAGTAGCAGACAAATGGGAAGTCAGACTTCTGAGTGCGTATTTTTACGGCATGGTTCAGAAAGGAGAGAGGATTCTGACAGCATAGTGCCACAGCCAAACGACTAGGTTACTCCAGAAACACGCAGGAAGTCCTCAATGAAGTGGAATGGGAACAAAAATTCCTTAGTAACGTGAGCCCTGGAATCTCCTGTGTATACAGGTAGGAGTTTGCCACACGCTGCTTTTGGAACAGCTTCCCCAAGACCAGTGAGTGAGTTCAACTGCCTCATCAGGCAGCGGTGCAGCAACCAACAGAGAGGGCTTGGCTGTGGGATGGAAAAGCCCAGCTATGCCGGGCTTTTACACCCCGTAGATGATGATACGGGGACTGAAGTACTGTAACTGAACTGAGAATAAGACCATTCAAACACCCTCCAATGCTGACAAAGGTCTGAAGTGTTCCATAACTGTGTGTCCGTCTTCCTCACTGCAGTGCAAGCAAGACAGGCTGAAGAGGAGCTTCTGCGTAACGTCCCAGTGCTATTGATCCCAGCAGTGAAATATGCCGACCAAAAAGATTTACAGGAGATCGACAATTAACAGAAAGGCAGGCCAGGGCCGTCTTTGTCCAGTTAATTGCCATCCAGAAGACACCCTGAAGCTAGCAGCATGGTAAGCACACAAATAAGTCCCCGCCACAACGCAAAAGGAACAGCAGATACACGCGCTAAGTCGACAGACAGAGTTACCAGCTTAACGTGTGGATTTTAACCCTCCAGCAGCAAAACTTTGTTGCTATCTGTTGAAGCAAACCCGTGAGATGCCACACACAAGTATTAACAAAGCCTACAAGTAACATCCAGAAGAACTATAGAAAAACAGAAGCAAGGATGAAGCATACTCTGTAGGTAAGAAGTGCTACACTTGAAAGTGTGCGGTTATCCAGGCAATTAGGTACCTTCATGTGCCACCACCTAATGCCACAGGAGAATCCAGTGGCCCCAGCTACGCACTGCTTCCTCAAAGATTCACAGAGCACTGAAATATCTATTCCATGGAAGATCACCAGCGGTGACAATTTTCAAAACATTATTTCAGGCTGAGAAAGCATTTTGAAGTCCAAAATTATAGTATAAAAAAAAACCCCAACAAACCCACAACCAAAAACCTGCTAAAAAAGCAAACAGAAAAAAATGAGGTTTTCTAATATATTGTAACCTGCAGCCCATTTACTTTTAAACATTATTCCTCTTTACCTTTAAAAAAAAAGCCTTCAATTTGGATACCTCTTTGAAGAAGCAAGCTAATTTATAACATTATAATCAGCAAAAGACTTCCCATACCCCTGGAATGTGGAAAAAAATATAAATAAAAATTTCAGCTTTCAGAAAGTAAAAAAGAGAAAGTAATAAAAAGATAAATAAAGCAAACGAGACGCAGAGGAAAACCAAAACATTATTTTAGAGGGAGACAGTTTGTAGCATATCAATCCCTTTACCTGATGCTGTTACCAGGAGGCTGTCTGAATCACATGGTCTACAGGATGAAGCACTAACAGGGTTTATGGAGGAGCTACAGGCAATGGTGGTGGGAATGACAAAGGAATTTTCTGAACATGCAGGTTGGTTCAGTCCAGGGAAGTGGGAAGGCCAGGCACCCACCTGAGATGAGGCTATGGCTGGTATGGCACAGCCTGCAGGTGCCACAGATAAATCTATAGCAGGTTTTGGTGGCAGCTGAGGTGAGGACTTAGAAATAATTTCCTCATTTATTACCCTGATTCCTTGTGGTGAACTTGAAAGAGGTGAGGTCACGGTTTTGCTGTCAGTTTTTGCACTTGTATTTGGGGATCGACCACTATCCATTAAAATTTTAAGCTGTGGGTGTGGTGGAGAAGGAGTTTGTGAAAGCCCTGGTTTTTTAGGAGGAATAGGTGGCGGATTTCCTCTGTCAATTCTCGATACACTGGGAGTCTTTAAACTCATTTTACCAACTGGGGGGTAAGTGCCAACATCCACCGAATGTGACGTCCCCGGCCGCGATGGAGTGCCGCCCTGAGGGCTTGTAAATCTCGACAGGACCTGGGTAACGGTATTCCGAGCTACCTGTTTGGCAACCAGGTTGTCACGACTAGTAGGGGACACGTCCCTTGAGGGAGGGCTTTGGGTTGTGTTCCCGTTTTGGTCTTGATCATTCGCATTCGCTTGAAACCTAAATCTAGCTGCTTGGATTCGTGGATTTAGGCCCGGATGCCCAGCAGTGTTGGCAGATGGTGAATGCAGACTGTGCATAGACGAGGTGAGCGAAGGATTCTGAGCTGCGGCACTCGGTGCTGCAGGCGTGCAAAGGGAACTGCTGTTTGAAAAAGGGGAAGTGCTACTTGGTAAATCAGGTGATGAGCCTGTACTTGGTCCATTTTCCTCAATTCTGTTTTGATTCTGTGTCGGAGCAGGAGTTGTGGGAGGGACAAGTTCACTGGATGAAGACTGCCGATCAATGACAGGCTTCACAAATGCTGCATTGGTGCACACATTCATTTTTGTATTGCCAGATGCTAGAGGGTTCACTGCAGAAGGCTTTACAGATACAGTCAAAGGCAACTTCTTCACATTTTCTGTGCTACCCTCCATCACTACAGTATCTGTTTGGCAGGCAACAGTTCTTGAACTTGGCTCTTCTGTTTCAACAGAAACAGAAACAAGATTCCTATCTTTATTTTTATCTTTATTTTTAAGAGAAAGATTAGCTTTACTTTCATTCTCCTTCTTTAATTGCTCAATCATTTTGATCATCTTATCTCTCTCTTCTCTGAGGTCATTGGTATGCGCTTCCTCTCTATGGAGTTTGGCACGCAACTGCTCTCTCTCTGTGTCAAACTCAGACAGCTGCTTTTCCATTTGAGCTTCCATTTGTGTACTCCTTTGTTTCTCAGCTGCAAGAGACTCCTCCAATTCAGCGGCCTTTTTCTTTTCCTCTTCAAATTTTGACATCACTTCTTCCAGTTTCTGGGCTTCCTCTACAATTCGGCCAGACAACTGCTTACAAATCAATACTACATGCTTATTCTTTCCACGTTCTTCTTCAAGACGAGCAGATAGCTTTTTGTGCTCCAGCTCAAGATTCTGTAACTGAGATTTTTCCATCTCCAACTGTAAGAAAGGACAGAGAAAAATTCTCATTAACAAGATGGAGACATTCAACATAACCTAGTATTAACTTGACATCGATATTTTAACCTTTGAGAGTATGCTGAAAATGAACCTCTCCGCCCCAGGAAAGCGGTCTGTGGTATTGAACACAAGTGCCTATAATCTTATACAGGCAAAAGAAAGAGACAGACTTCTCTGATGAGCAATTCAGAAACTAAGTAAGCCCATCTACTTTCCTCCTCTGGAAACACAGACACTCCCCAAAGTGATTAAATGCTTGTGATTCCTGAGTGAGGAGCTACCTGTTCTCCAGAAATTGGACATAAGACACCACAGAAAGTCCTCTTCTTAGTACAGGAACCAGACACAAGCAAGAGATAAGCTTTGCAAAGAACTCTGAGCCCAGGAATTAAAGGTTTAGGTTTTAGGTCTTCCTCAGACTGAAGGAGATTAGGGTTAAAATACACAGTCCATCCTATAATTTGTGTCTTATATCTGGCTTTAACATTTAGAAATAAGGCATTCGTTTCTAAGACCAACTTTGTGGCACAGGCATAGCTATCTTCCTGTATTCACCAACAGCAGGTTCAGTGCCATCAGTGCTAGACAAACTACGTTATAAGCGAGAATCAAACAACTACCTACCATGTACAGATAATGGGCGAGAATGTTTTTTCCCCTCGTTCCCCACCCCCAAGCCATCTTGCCTGCTGAATATGCTTTTATTCAAAGACCCTGTTCTAGAAAAGCACTGGAAAAATATGTTAATGCACCACTTCACAAAATACCTACTAGTAATAATTCGACCCAAATTGCTTCGTATTTTCCCAAGCAAACTTTTACACAACTCAAAAAACAACAACAAAAATTGATTTCTTTCTTCCTGCTCCTCCCTTCACACACCGATGCATTAGCTTCCTCTGTAGCTTGTCTGAAGGACTGATAAAAAAATCAACCAAACAAACCCCCAAGAAACTGCTGAGCACTCCTTCTCCTGCACCCTTTTTATTGGTTTAGCCTTGTCAGTTCTGCTTCATATTTAGGTACAGACTAACACAGAAGGAACGATTCAGAACTGTACTGCTACAGTGCATTTTCTATGTGGGGATTTTTTTCTGTAAAAATACTTTCAGGTACCTAAGGAGAAAAAAAAAATTAAGTGCCCACAAACATGAATGGTTAATTTTGACTGCAACAGGAAACTTTCATGCTTCTACTATATGAGGAAAGCTATGGCAAAGAGCAGTGCATTTAAGATCTTGCCTGGAAGAAATGTTTCACTTCAACAGATGAAAGAAGGATCACAGATTATAGATTCAGATGGCAGTGTCATGGTAAAACGATAACTAATTTCAGAGTTTAAGACAATAAAGCATCATGAATATATTTACTGTAAACTGTACTGTGGGAAACAAGAAGGCCTAGGGGATTGGTAGTAGGTATGGATATCTTCTCTCTCTGTCAGTGCTTAAAATACTGTCTTGGTTCTAAATGAAAACAGAAAGACAGACAGACAGGCAAAAAAAAACCCCAGGCATTACAAATAATAGTTTTTCAGAAGCTTATTGCTACAGCACACTATTCCATGTCCTCTCCAGTGGGAGATGGAAATTTCTTAGCTCTGGAAGCTTCTTCAACATCCCTGTAGATGCGTCCACAATTCATTTTTAACTAAACTGCATTTAAGCAAAAGGTAATATAAATACAATTTTTAAAGAACAGTTTTGTTACTCTCCAGTTATGCCACAGAGCGGAGTTGAAACTCATGCCATCAAGACGGAGGGAGTCTGCCACTGTAATAGAAATAAATCCCACCTGCTATAGCTCATTGCTCCCAGGATCATTTTTTTCCACATGGTAAGTAGAATTCATGCAGGAGAAAACACTTAAGAAGGAAGTGACATGACAGAGAGAACAAACAATAAATCCTGTATGAATTTAGACTTAGAGATGAACGTGTGTCTCAGTCTCCCTGTACTTGTCATCCTGTCACCTGACTGAAAATTTCTCTCCCGTTTTCGTCATAAGAATGGTAAAAAGCATAAAGAGGTGATGGTAATATTGATGTGATGTGTATTATGGTAACAGTAAAATTTCTTCTTGAAATCATACCATTATCGTAAGAAACAGTGAACTAAGAGGAATAAATCACTACGGGAAATTATGCCTACGTTATAAATGTCATCTTGGCTTCAAGCGCCTCAAAACCTGTTTAGCAGTGGAGGGGTTCCACTGGGGTTTTAAAGCATCATCCCAAGTTAACCAATTCACTATGTACAACGTATTTCACAAAACCAAGTCCGCTTTCTTAAAAACAGTGTGAAATATATAAAAAATAAGGTCGGCATTATCAGTCTTTCCAAAACACCACCACCACCGCGTCTTCAGTCATGTTCATGGCAGTACAGCTGCACATTAAACTACAAGCTATTACGATGACACCGTACTTCGGAATGGTCCCATTCCCAGTTCTTCACATGCAGAAAAATCAGTATTCTGTTCTCAAGCATTTAATTGTTCATTTGTGGGTTTTTTTTGTTTAGTTTGGGTTTTTTTTTGAAAGCATCCAACAGCATTTGGGTGCTTCACAAGCATTTCAAAGCTCGTGGAGCATCCAACAGTAACAGTGGAGCATCCAACAGTTTCTTTTTGTTAAGACAGATACAAAAATAATGAGAAATAGAAACCATTTTTAAAACTTGGAAATGAAATAGGATTATAATGAAAATGGTTTTATCAACATTTTCTATACTTTATTATTCCTACATTTTGCTTTCAGATGAGGGATTTGTTCTATAAATTAACTGTTGTGAAATGATATCACTTTCCAATAATAACAGATTTTAACATATGATTGGGATGAAATCAGCGTACCGTACTACTATCTTATTTGTAAGCACTGCATATAAATAAGGAATCCCTAATATGTATATGTGTGTCTTCTATTTGATTTTAAATGGACAAAAGCAGCATTAGTTTCTCATTTTACATTGTATCCTATCTCTATCTCTTCCCCCCCCCCCCCCC